TCAATATTCCCGTATGTCTCACGAGCTGCGGCGCACTGTAAAAGCAAGAAATATCAGAGGAGCCCACGATCGCTCTTCCTGCCGCAAGACCGTACTTCATTAACACATCCCTGCCTGATTGCGTAGGCCGGAGCTCCGATGCGTGAGAATTGGAGCACCACGGCTTGCCATCCGCCAGCAAGCGATAGATAAGAGCCGACGCGCACCTCTGGAGGTCAAGCCAAAAGTATCCCGTTCGTACGGCTGGGTTGAAATGCTCTGGGAAACACCTTTCCCATTCTTATTTAAAAGGTTAATCTGCGAACGTGCATTTTTTGGTCGTAAATCTACTTGGTGCAAGTTCGTTGGGAGAATGTGTTTGCAATGTCATAAAAATCTATCAATGTTTTAAAACATCAATATTTTTTAGCAGAAATATTGATATTATAACATTGATGTTTCCTGCAAATCGATATATTTATGCAGAAACATTGATGTTTAAAAACTTCTCATGATATAAATAAAATTCCCAAAATCTATTTTATTTGTTGATTTCCTGTCAATTGACAACTGTCACTATTGTCGATCACCAGGCAGCAAGAAAACGTTCCTATTCGCAACCTTTCCCCAGTGTTGTTAACTTTTTTCATTATTTTGTACGTGGTGATTTGCAATTTGTACCTTTACTACATAGAACACTGATTAGAAAATTATGATGACAGACAAATTTAAGACAATGCTTTTTAATCTCATAATAAAGTGTTATGTATCACATTAGAACCGGGGCATTTTACTTCGATATGTTTCATCATATTTTAAACATCGATGTTTATTACCATCGATATCGGAAGCTTTTGTTGATGTATCGATGTAGTGCTAAACTTGGTCATCACTATGTAGTCCTTATCCAGCAGTAGTACACTTAATGCGTTTTGTGATGTCCTTTTATAAATGGCACAAAACTGCCATGGGTTTTTTTCATAATACAAAGTAGCAAAGAAAATTATAACAAACTTCTAAAGAATGTAAGGTGAGAATCAAAGGTTTTTTACTGGATTGACGGGCAAACAGATGTTTTGACTTCAATCAATTTTTAGGTATCAACGACCCCTAAAACATGGATTACGACTACACCACGTGTTAGAGGAAAGACACACATATAGGAACAGGATTTATCCACTTTTTCAATATCAGGGCCCGACAGTAAGTTTTTCTGCCGAAAATTCGCCATTTTACAGCGCACGATTACGTAACTTTCTCTTCTTAGGAAGTACCTTCGTGAGGGCCAGAGAGTAAAATTTCTATTGACAAATCGGTACCAAAAGAATTGAAAAAAATCACGGGTTGGCAGTTATGTAAATATCATTGTGATGGCCACAAAATCGAAGTTTTGGAGGAATAACTACTATTTTCTATGTATTTGATGTTCATTTAAACGAACATCAGAATGAGCTTGTATTTATTGCAAAGTGTAATCATATCTTGCCTTGCCTGCAGACGTCACCGGGGTCTACGAAGATCAACGGGGTCTCCATTAGTCTCTAATTCTTGTTTTTCAAGTTCTGCCCGTTAAGTTGCCAGTTCTGGTCTCTACCCTACATTAGGATATTCCATAATCAAATCCCCCCGTTGCCTCCGACCGACGTCGCGGGCATCACAATTCTCCTCTAATTCTTGTTTTTCAAGTTCTGCGCGTAAAGTTGCCAGTACTGGTCTCTACCCTAGATAAGGATATTCCATAATCAAATCCCCCCGGTAACTCGTTGCCTCCGGCCGACGTCGCTGGCGTCACAATTCTCCTCCAATTCTTCTTTTTCAAGTCCTGCGCGTAAAGTTGCCAGTACAGGTCTCTACGCTACATAGAGAGTTTGAATAATCCAAAGCGCCTCGTGCGTCCTTGTTTCCGGCAGCCGCTGCATTGGGCGGCGGAGCGGGACCGCGCCGGGCGCTGCGTTGAGCTGCTGCTGGCTGCGGGGGCGCCGCTGGACGCCCGCACGCGCCGCGAGGGCGACACACCCCTGCACCTGGCGGCGAGCGAGGGCAACGAGGCGGCGGCCGCCGCGCTGCTGCGGGCCGGCGCTGAGGTCGCGGTGCGCAACAAAATTGGAGAGACGCCGCTGGACCTGGCGCCGTCCACGGGCCAAATGCGGAGGATGCTCGGGGCTGAGTAATATCGTACTTCGATTTTTCTGTAGCGGCCGATGACGTTAGGTCTTTGTTACACCTCCAGCCTTATGAAACGAATCTTTTTAACAGTGGTCACCACATTTCTCAGACCACGAGCCCCGTTGAGAAGGGCATTCGCGAATTAATTAAAAATATTAATTTTATAAGGCTGGAGGTGTAACGATGACCTATTGTCATTGTGGAAAAATCGAAGTATAGGGACCTTTTGTACCATGATGGAAAGAGATGGGTTGGCTCCCCCTATTGGCACCTACTTTTCCTGCACCAGGATCTGCCACGAATCACGTGACCATAACACAAAAACAGCCCAGACGTTGGCCGCCGTGTTGCATGAAGACAAGAAGTGTTGAGAAACGTTTTGAAAGTAGCGTAAAATGACAGTTTTCAACGGTGGCCAACCACACGATGAAGCTGTAATTGAAATAAAAGATGTAATATTATAAAAGTGCCTCGTATATCTGTTTCATGGTGATGATTTTGCCATTTTAAATTCCCACTAAGTTTCAAAGTGATAATTTTGGCATTTTAAAATCCCACTAATATTGTGAAGCAAACTGGTACCTGAAGCTCACGATGCACTAGAGCCCACCCGTCTTTTTCCACCATGTTTTGCACGACACAGCGTACAGCAATCGTCTGCAGTTTCGATCCTGTGCGCTTGCACAGAAGCCAAAAAGTGATCCGAAATAGACACTGCGCATGCGCAGAGGATCGATAGTGCTATTCGATTGCTTTAACGCTTCACCGTGAAAAAATATCGCATTGTCAATGGGAAATCTAGCGCAAATCTGGTTATGAGCGGAGTGCCATATTAATTTTTCCGCTGACGTCGGCGTGAGCTCTTCTCAGACTTGTGGGGCCAACTTTAACAAAAGAAATGTGAAAAGAAAAAATTGGATAGGGATTGAGTTATTATTAAGGATTCGACACATACTTAAAATTCAAACGTATTTTTTACATCTCCAGTACACAAATACCTTACATCTTCGACTATTGTCCACCCAAATATATCAATTTTATATTTAACAGTTCTGCCTCCACCGATATTCTGCGCGATGCATACCCTCGCCATATCCTCGGGACAAGCGGAACGGCGTAGAATTTTTATCCTCAAAAAATTGACGAGAATTGAGACTACGCGTGTCCAATTTCATGACGAAGCTTTAGTTTATTTAACAAAAAATCCTTAACATGTCCAAAGGAAAATTCTTAAAGCATTTAATGCTAAATTAAGTTTCTAATCAATTAAAACACGCAATTCTTATTTCAGCTACGAAACGGAATGGTCTCATTCGCACCACTCGTCTTTTGCTTCCGTTCACTTATCTCGGTATTTCGGTATTGATTCGTTACAAAAAAAAAAAAAAAAAGCCCAAAATCTCAAGATGATAGAACACGGTTTGCACAATTCTAGTCAGTGGCAGGAAGAAAATACGAGAAAAGTTGGCCCCCGTGTACTATATTGCTGCTGCTTTGATAGAAGTGTAAACCGGGCACTGCGTCTAATGTGCGCAGGATCACACCCTAGCATTGGAGTTTCTTGCACAGAGTAAATCTATTATTGGTAATGCAAAAGTTAACCTTTCAATGTGAAGCCTTGGCTGGGCTAAGCGGATAAGCAATTTCTTTTTAATTCGCTGCGTCTTCTCCTCCGCATCGCGTCTTGAAGTCCTTGTTGGGCATTGAGCGCTTAGTATGGGTAATCCTCCATTAAGTACTTTTTTTTTGTCAAGTCTCATCACGACGCAGTCAGTCAATGCCTTTTATCCCTTCGGCCTGAGGCTCGGCACCCGGGTTCCCAGACGGTCGCCCGACTACGAATCCGCGGACTCTCGACTACACGGAGCGTAGTATTGAGCAGTTCGGCTAGCGACGCCGGTCGGCAGTGTTGCCAGATGTGTTTAGAGGGATTCCGCCATGTTCGTTTCAGTTTCCGCCGAAAATCCGCTGAACTGGTTTTATATTTCTCGCCTAAATCCGCTAAACGTGAAATAAATTATTTTTCCATATTTAAATGTCGTATTAATTTATTCTATAAAAACAAAACTATGATTGCGAAATATAGTGGCTTCATTGGACCCGCAATTCAATTTTTAGATAATATAGAATGCACTACTTGGGTGAAAATTTGCAAAATAATAACAATTGATTTCAGGTATTATATAACTTATTATACAAGTATTATATTATTTATTCTTGCTAGTAACATGGATTTAGAAATTTTAAAAATTACAAAATATCTGTGCAAAACAACTTATTAATAAAGGTTAACGAAAACTGATGCTTTACTAATTTAACTGCTTTACTACCTTTATTAATTTCCGCCGTTTATTCCGCTGTCCGCGAAACTAATTTTTTTCCCCGCCGTACGAGTTCAAAATCCGCTGAAAACGGCGGGAATTCCGCCGATATGGCAACACTGCCGGTCGCTTGCTGCGTAACCGTGGGAACAACTCGTCAGCTCACTTGGTACCACTACGGCCCTCCGACACTACGCGGCATCCCGACACAAGAGTAAATCGCATGATGTGTTTGTACGGATGCTCGCAAATAAAAGTGAAGCGCATCTGTCGTCTCGAGGTATTTCACGCTGTAGGGTTGAGGGGCGTTCACGGGGAAAATGTTCATATGGAAAGGAGGGCATTTACAAGAATATTTACCGTATAATATGGTGATCATAAATTATATTGAATGCCATGCAATAGTATAAAATCATATAATCAAATAGCATAAATATAAAGTAATATGAATGTATCATTTAACTTGACATTCATGACGTAGTGTCATGAGACTAATTATTATTATTATTATTATTATTATTATTATTATTACTATTACAATACAGTAAAAGATGTAGACTCGAGAAGGGAAGCATTAAAATTCGTCGTTCCATTTCTAATATTGCATTTCCACGCAACACTCGTCGAGCCAATACCCATGCTCAGACCAGTGAGGAACAGGTACGCACATTCTGCTTGGCCCAGTAAACTGGGCGGCTTCCTGAAGCGCGAACTAGTACAACAGGATCTGCGATTCCGATTTTCCTCCGACAGTTCAATCGGAGATACAGAGAAGTTACTGCAAGAAGGGACCGCTTCGACAGGTAGGGAAACAAATGAACATCGCGCTGGGCGATGACATTGTAAGGGATAGTTAGGCCGCGGATTTTTAGGTTTTAAAGTATGGGGGATGCTGAAAGACCTTATTTTAGGTGCCTAAAATAAGTTCTTTCGGCATCTGGATTACGCCTTCTAAATGGTAAAATTGGCTGAGATAAATAAGGAAACTTGAAAAAAACACATGTTTACAATTTATTATATATTTCTCAATGGTAAAACACATCAATTTTGCGATAATACTATTTATGAACAAATTTCATTGTTTGTCCTCTACTTAAAATTATTCGTGCTGTATTTTTCCTTGCAATACATTACTATACTCTCTCCAAGTTTTCAATAGGAAATGAATGTCTCTTATCGGTCAAGATCACTTTTCCTTCGCGGGAAATCATTCGCTTTATCATAGAAGCGAAGGAAGGCTTTTCCACGAAGTCAGGAAGTAGTGGCATGGAGACTTTTATCGCAAGATCCTTGTTCTGCTATTCCTGTATGTTCTCGTTATCTTTCAGATTAACACAACTTAAAATTAATATCATCTTTGTTTGTTGTGCCGACACAGTAGAAAAAGGTAAGAGAAGGGACAGACAAAAGAAATTACTCAAATTAATCTCATTATGTTTTCAAAAGTAAAATAGGCACAAATATACATTAATGTTGAAAAAATTGACAGATTTTAGTTCATACAATCCTTTATATATATAACTGTATTTAGTACAAGGTACCCAGGAGAAAATATTTGTTTACCTAAGTATCCATGGTCTACTTATAATTTATAAAGCCATTTACAAATGAGCTGACTGTAAACGAACGCACTGACCAAATGAGTGCGTAGACCTAACTTGCAGTTGTATTGTCAGCAGTGGCCAAGCAATTCTCTTTGGTTCAGTAAACTGAACGGGTTCCAAAGCGCGAACTGGATCTCCGAATTCTCCTGTATTCCGTGTTTTCTCCGAAAGTTGAACACTTTTCAAGGGTGATACCGAAAACATCTCTGTTTTAGGCCCGCAACAGATAACACTGAAGAATGCGTTGCGAGAAATGTGGATGATCGAAACAAGGCACACTTACCAGCGCCCACACACTTTAAAGAGTTTTCTCGTTCGCCTCTGCGGAGGCGAAAGAGTTCCTCGTTCGAGCCGATCAGCGAGCGACTTTTCTCGGACACGTTACTACTCCTTCATTTGTTATTGTTTAGGCATTCACTGTTGCAGAAAAACACTAGACAGTGCATAGAAATGAAAGAGATTATAATATTTAGCAGTAAAAGATGTGATAATTCACCTATTTTTTTACAGTTTACTTGAATTTTCTCTTTAAACAAACTCTTTATACATTATAACTTCCTGTTTTTTACGTTAAATAATGATTTGTATGCAATGTAGTAATGCATTTCTCTTTAGTCAATGCGAACTCTTTAAACTGATGGTTTACGATTGTGGTAACAAAACAAGGATTTCACGGGTTAAAATTACACAAGTGCATTTAATAAAACAAGAAATGGGACTTGCAGTTGATTTCATAGCTAACTGCTGCCACCACTGTCGGCCTGCGGCACATGAAGGCATTTCGAGACATCGAATAACCTATTTTTAGATTTCTAGTGTGTGGTCTCTTTCCTCATTTCTTTCAACGCAATCTCTCTCGGTGTAGTGTGTTGCTGGCCTTACGCGGGTTTCGAACCCACATCCTTGGTGAAAGTAAAGTGTTCGTGCTCCACGACCGAAGAGGGTAGGAGAGAGAACGCTCCCCTGAGGCACGCCCGCCTCGGCACGTCTGACGAATAAACGTTCTTAACGCTCACTTTGAACTGCCTGACAGAGAGAAAACTCGCGATCAGTCTGACGTAGCAAATCGCCCCCGCGAGACATGCGAGCAACCCCGCATGCCACACAGAGTAGAAGGCCGCTCGCGTATTCAGAAAGACCGCTGGTAAGTTCTGCCGTCTTTGAAGGGCAAGGCCGTTCTCCGTGCGAAGAGGCGTACTCTATTGCGCGGAGCTGTGACCAGCTCGAAATCGAAATTGTTCGTCTCTGAGACGACTCTGATTTCCTGTTGCAAACGCGACACAATCATTCGCTCGAACGTCTTCCGTAGGATGAAGAGTAGACTAATAGGTCTAAAACTGCTCGGGATTAATTTTCTTCTGTGGCGCTTGCAGCCATTCGCTCAAACGTCTTCCCTACGGTGCACAAGGGTGGTGAGCTCCGTATATGCGCGCGCCCATTGCATATGGTCCAACGCATCTGTAACATAAGTAGAGAGTTCCTGCAGAGCGTTATGAAGCAACAAGTCAACCACTAGCTTGTGAACTGCAAGAGTTTTTGCACGTTTCGTTATAAATGAAAGTAGTACCAAACTGTGGTGGCAGAGTATGCGCTAATTTACCATAATGCCACATTCTGGTTAACACACTTTTTTCGAGTAGAGCTTCCTCAGCTCAATATATGATTGTAATTATAAATATTGATTATATGTACACAGATTACATGAGGTTGCAACGTGGACATCTCGAGTTAGTAGGACCCTCTGCCGCAATAGTTGGGAACAAATTGTATTTAACGTGTATGGTTTAGTGTGTGACACAAGTCACGTGATTATAATCATAAGCTAATTGTGGTGAAATAGCGTTTTCCGTTTATCATTTTAGAGTAACGTATGAGTTCGCGCGTGCGCATAGGCTCAAAAAGAGGTTCATAGTGTATACGTTACGCTGTGCAAAATGGTTCCAACGCTTTAGAAACCTCGCAACGCGGGATGCGGGACGAAGGGAACTGCTGCCTATTGCCACAGCACTGTTGTCAATAGGTTAATTCAAAAGTGCCTTCGCACTTTCTGAAAGTCAGACGCGCTACGATGTAAGTCGTGTGTAATGTCATGATATCCCATTCTGGAGAAATCATAAGCGTGTATCGTCGCCTCGACTCTACAAAAAGGGAACAGGTTCTACAAAAGCTATGACTGTGTAAAACGGAAAAAAAAGTGACTTCGGAGAACGGCATTGTGACACTGTTCCCAAACTTTGTCTTCATTTTCGAATGGTTAAAGGTCACACAGTGAACATAAGCGTGCAATATTGTGCTTCAGCATAAATACATTCTATCAAACAATACATTCTATCAAAATGCACCGCTTCATAAGCCTCTGATATAGAATTGTCAATAAATGTCTTTGATAATCTCAAAACGAAGGCGGTTTGGCATAAATGCCATCGTCATGTATAATTGAAGCCCCATCGCGCTTCTCAAAAGTAATTTTGAATCTCATTTTAAAGAAAAGAAAAACATTGGTACATTTTCCTGGTCTTTGGGAACAAAGATAATTCCATCTAAATGTAGCATATATTTTAAATTATTCTATATTAAGGCTCTTATGGTGAAATTAGAACATACAACTCGAAATAGAAACAGTTTTATATCCAGCCACGATGCATGATCATACCAACCAACGTTGCCAATTTTCGAAGAATTCAGGAGACATATACCAAAATCTATCTTAGTTCCCGTATCATCCAATATACAAAGCAGTTCCTTAGTCCACCAAGCAAATACCAATATCGACGCACAGTTTGTGAATGCTATATACTTCAGATTTCCGCTTGCAGCTCGACACTATTACTCTTCCTAGAACACACCCTGCCTTCTCGACTCCGAAGCCTCTTCTGTATATTCCGCTGCGCGGGGCGTCACTGGCCAGAGCGGAGGCGACTGTGGCGGAAGAATAAGAGACACGCCTACGTCTTTGGCACTTGCTAAGCCGTGACACTAGTGTAGGCTGCACTTTAAGGGCTCTAGGGCGAAGCCAACATCGTGAAAAGTTGCAGAAAGTAGTAAACTTTGCAATACATCGACTCGTTTAAATTGCGCATACCACCAGCACATTTTTTTAGGACAAATTTAGTTTTAAGGGCCCGATTATGCGAAAGATGCACGTTTTTGGAATGGGGTAGCATGGTGGACTGTTGGGAGTCTGTTCGTAGGTGGTGCATGGGAGGCAATTGAAGCTTGAGGAAGAATGGGGGTTCTGGGAGTCGGGTAGGGGCAGCGTGCTCCTATTAGAGTCCTGTCCAGCAGAGTTCACGGCTGTTAACTAAGCTTAGAATACCGACCCTTTCATCTGATTTCATAAATTACTGTTTCGTTTGCTAAACATATTTTTTTATTGTTATTTTCTCGGGAGGACATTTGTATCGAACATTATCAAAGTTAAAAACGTGTCTCAGTCAAGGATTAAAATCCCGACTACATTACATTGCTTCTTGCTGTGCCAAAAATAACTGTCTGACGAATTAACGATTTTGCAATTATGAGCTCGGTCCTTCAATGTTAACGATGAACGTTACTTTTATGGAAGTTGTTCCAGCTTGCATTAGCAGTGCATGTTGATGCGGAACACTGGGAAGTATTTCGAGGGTGCTGGTCAATGTCGCTAAATCTGTCATGAATTAAAACTAATCTGAAACGCAGCAGGAAAAAGAATGTGCTATCCTATGAATGATGTGAAAACCTAAGAATTTAGCGACACATTGTGCTTACTGCCACATCAGTTTGTAACAACTTTCAAAAATGTACCCTCTGAGGAGGAAAACGTGCCAAATACATCGCATGAATCATTGGCTGGTCACGTAATCGCCCACTATAAAATTATGCTACCTAGTTACACGCTATGCATCAAGAGTCACTTTTGTCTGTAAGGAGGTTCGATTGTAAAATTGCGGGATACTCGAGTATTTCTAGGAATGACCGACGATCCAGAATTCACGTGTTGTTTCGTGATAGTAGTTATTCTCAGAAGATGTATGCCATTCCCAGCGAATTCTATGTAATTATGATTTTTTGCCAATAAAGTTTTGTTTGTGCAAGTTTTAAATTATATATTATTTATAATATTGTCATTTATTTACCCACAGCGCGGCAAACATTACACACAGCGTAGCAACGATACAGAATACAACAACCGAAAATTTAAAAAAAAATGCAATGAAGAAAACTGACTAAATAATTATATGGAAAACAATATATAAAATGAGCAATTGAAAGAAAAACAAAAGAAGTATACTATACACAAGTAATGAAACTCAACGCAACGAGAAAAGTCAATAGAATAAAACACATTAAAATAACCGCAAACATAGGTGCCAGCAACAATAAATTAGTTCATACATACAAGTATTTAACAATTTTGGAATGGATTTTTGAAGTTGAAAGTTAACGACTCCCTAAGTTTGAAAGAAGCATTAAACGGCACTTGAGTTCGAAAGCAATTCAGTGTTCCCTGTAATATTCACTATTTTGAAAAATAATTTGTTCTCGAGAGTAATACGATTGAATTCTGTGGCTAGAATATATATGAGATGACGAACTATATGCTTGAACTTTTTGTTGTTTAAATACCTCAAGAATAATTTTGTAATTTCGTCCGCGTTTGCACTGCACCTGTAGCCACATAAGTGAAGTAAATTAAACAATTTTTCTAAATTAAAAATCGTTATAACAGTAATAAATTGTGTGAATGACT